ATTTTCTCATCTTCGTACATGTTAACATTAATTATTCAATATTAGTTTATTTGTACAATAGTAATCATGACTTTATTTTTTTTTTCTGACACATATACATTTTTATAAAATTTTTTTGAAAAAGTGTCATTAATGTGACCAATGATTTTTTTCATGGTATATCACATATTTTTGTACGCTTAGATATTTAATTTTAAAAATTTTGAAAAAAAAAATTATATTAGATTTTATAATTTGTTTTTTATTAATAGTTATTATTTCTAGAGTCACTATCTACATGGAACACTCTTACTATAGAGAAATCCTTTAATTGAACTCCTCGGACTAAAACCTGTCTTACACCATGGAATCACAAGACTGGCCATACCTATTGAAGATGGAAACCGCGCCCCAGGTTTGTAGATTATTTTTTTTTAATACTATTAGTGATAACGAAAAGAGTTCATCTACTAATAATGTTGTATTTGTGAAAGTATTTTTAAATGGATTAATAAAATAATTTATTATACATTATCTCAATAAAATTTTAAAAAAATATTTTTCTATTAAATTTTCATTCATTCATACTATTTTTAATATTAGGCCGCGCAACGCGCGGGTCACGTACTACTTATTTAATTATATTGATGATACTGAAAATAGCGTAGTTGAATTAAAGTTGAATTGGATTTGGAGAGTGGTTTGACTTTTTATATGTACAAACACACAATGTGCCTCTTTTTTTCTCACTCCACTTGCACTTTCAAAGCCAATGGTCAATAGTGATTTTATTTTATTGAAAGTAAAGCAAGAATATGCAGTTTATATTTGGTTATACTTATTGGAATGTGAGGTGAACATGTAATACCTTTTCCTGGTTTAATTTAAGTTTTTGTGATTATAGGCATAAGAAATACCGGTTTTGCTATGAAGTCAACAATTGACTTCATAGTGAAGCCAACCTTCTATATACAACAGGTAAACCTACTATATTAAAAAAATTATAATACTATTATTTAAGTAATCAACGAATATGGTAGGTTTATTAGTGTATATAGAAGGTTGGCTCTATTACGGAGCCAACTGTTGGCTTCATAACAAAACCGTAAGAAATACATAAAAAGTGGTAATAAATTAAAAATAAAAAAGACCAATAATGAATTTACAGCAATAAATTAGAAAAAAAAAAGTAAGTGGCTCTGATAATTTTTAAGGCTAAATGGCCTCTTTGTCTGTGGGAGACCTTTGTGTTTTCCTGTTTCTCTGTAGTGTACTTGAAACTGATAACCTTGGAGGAGAAATATATAATGAACAACTATTATATATCATACAAAGTTTTCAATCATACATACAGAAAATTATCTCATAAGTTAAACATACTACGGTAATGAATCCCCGCCATATCAGACATGACTTTATCTATGTAAATTTTTGAGTAATGCAAAAACGTCACGGGCACCAGATAGACAAGAAAAAGACACTAATAATCAACGTTTTCTTTTGCTCAAGATTCCTGCAATGAGATTCCCAACTTCCTCGCTACAATCCTCTTGCACATGATGCCCTGCCTGAAACAAAAAAAAAATATAAAAAAATTAACACCAATATTCTTACAAGATTTATGATGTTGTTCACCATTGGAAGAGTGATGAGTTGATGCTTGGATTCCTTGCAAAAGTCCTCAACGCCTTCGAAACTTAACCATCGGTCCCTTTGACCCCAACAAACCGTAGTCGGGACTTTCCAATTCTCGTCCATAAGTACTCTTCTCATCTCCTCACCATATGCCTATTGGTTCAAAGCCAAATTAAACTAAAATGTTATTAGTAGCTAAATATCAACTGGTTCGATTTTAATCGTCGAAAAAAATCGTAGAACGACTCGGATTGAACTTTTTTACTATTCCATTAGTTGGCCGAAATGAAAGAGAAGAATCACCTTTAGTTCCTTTTTCATAGAGCGACTAATCGCATTGAGAGCAAATCCGGAAGAGCCAGAAGTGAGATATGGTCGTCTGTAAACCATTGCAACGTCTTCCTTCATCTTGTAAGGGCCACAACTTGTCAATGCTTTATCGCTCGCCCTTAGAGGGTCCTGATTATTCACATGCACATTTTCGGTCAAGGACGACGTATATCATAAATTTGAGCTTCAAAAGTTAATAACTGCTAATGATGTTATGGCCTTGCTTCCTCGATCCGCTAAGATTCAGCTAGCACATTTTCGATCAAAGGATGACGTATATCATAACTACAAATGATATCATGGCCTTGCTTCCAAGATCCGCTTAGATTCGGTTCTTTGTCGCTTCGATTCGTTAGAAAAAAAAAAATGTAAATGATATTACTCTCTCTATATGTATGTATATGTTGTGCATGTTTTTTCCACCTGACAAAATATTTCCCCGAGCAAAAAGTTGCTGAATTGTGCAAGAGCTGACGGCAAGTTTGCGTGTTTGGCTGTCAGCTTTCACAAAAGAAGAAAAAGAAACAAAATTAAAGAGAGGCGTTAAAATGATGTGCAGTACACTAGAAAGCCGAGTAACTCATCAGGTTACACTACCGGAGGATTTAGCAGGATGAGGTTATCGATCTTTTCTTGATGGTCTTTAGCATACTTGACCACAACAGGTGAAAAGTACCCCTACATATATATAAAGAATAAGAAAAGAAAAATTTTGTTCACAAACATTGATCAACAAAGGACCATTATTACATTCACTAGAATAACAAATAACAAAACAAAATCTACCTGCACGACAAAAGAAACTTTATCTTTAGAGATTCCATTGACGACCGATGCCAAGGACTCGACGAATTCTAAAGGCCATGATGCATTTTTCAGCAATTTATCAGCTTGCATCATGATATAAATATTCTTTGTTTTAATCTTCGAAAACTCATCAAAATGGATACATTCATACCTTTAAGAGTGTAGTCAAACCCGTACTTGGGTTGTGGTTTATCCGAAAATCCGAATCCTGCACGAGACAACGTAGAATTAGTTAAAAAATGTACGCGTAATTTGAGTGTCGTCTTGAAATGAAAACACGAGCCACACTTGAAGCTACCAAAAAGTAGGTAATTTAATTTAATCTTACCCAGCCAATCAAAAGCAATTGCATGATTATTGTTCTTAGACAGAATTGGTAGAACTTTGCGAAATGAATATGCCTGGAGCAAGCAAAAACACGAACACTTATTCAGTACAATAAATGCGGAAATTGCACTAAGTCGCCATATAAACGTACTAACCTGTGATGGGAAACCGTGAATTAGAAAAACTGTTGGGTCTCCGAGTCTCCCACTTTCGACGCAAAACCATCTATTGCACAAAACGAGCACGTTTGTTTTTTTTTTTCAAATGGTGTAATCCCTGCATATAATGCTTTCTCAATATCTGCACGATATATATATATATATAACACCCTGCTTTTTTACATTTATGATTTTCACGAAAATCTCTATAAATCAAATATTACCTGAACAGATCACTTGATGCCTGTGACGAGCCAGCCATAGCGAGTCCGAAAATCGGATCCTTTGCCTTCTCACCACTGCCACCAACTGGGTGTGCTTTCACCTAAATTAAGAAAAAAGAAAACAACTTGTTGTGTTCAACTGTAAAAATAAAACTAAGAAAATGGAACTTACAATCTTTCCTTGCTTGAACCATTCTTCAGCCGGGCTCGGCTGATCCGAATATTTCCCTGTCAAGTGTCACAAATCACTACAACAAATAACCACCTCGAATTTTTTTGTGAGAACCATAATGATTATTATTATTATCTGTTCTGAACCTCCACTGAAAGAAAACCCGTCTCCGATTGATTCCGGAGCATCCAACAAGTAATCCTGAGACATTTAACAATTTTTTCCAATATGAAAACAAACAATGCCATTAATTTCAAGAAATACTGTGTAATATACTATAAAAAATACAAGAGACCTCGTCTGAATCATTGCTCGATCGAGAGATGAGTAGGTTGCTTCTCTTTCGACGTGGAATTGGAGGAGTCGATACGAAAGGGCGATATTGTTTGGGTAGTGAAAGTGAAGCAGATGAAAGGCAGATCATTGCCATAGAAATTGTTGAATGAGAATGGCTGACAGTTATGACAGTTGGTCTAAAAAAATTGAGTGGGGTTCAAATAATGCCACACAATAGGAATGTATCAGAGATAGGATTTATCTGGTTCTCATTTGTCTCATTAATTCCAATATGCACAGTTCATTTTTTCTTTCTTCTTTTCTTTACTTCTTTGGTGAACTTTTTTCACATAACATTATAACACTTCTATTTTTGTGTAAGAAACGGGGGAGAAACGGGTGCGGTCCCACACAGCTGAAGCGCAACAAGACAGGAAAAGCCCAAATGGAGCCCAAGTGAGGTTCCGTCCGAAAACCAATTGGTGGAAGGAGTAGCCATTTGACATATAAATTAGACATGTTTTCTTTATATAAACGATGTGGGACAACTCACAGTTGAATATTCTAATATTTTGCTTGTCCAGTAATTATAGATCAAAATTCTTGTTAACTCAAATTTTCTTGATAGTTTTGCTTTAATTTCTAGTTTTCTTCATGTAATCCATCATAGTACTTAAAAATAAAAATAAAAAATGTAAACAAGATTTGCACATGAAACCATCTCCAAAAGTTATCATACCCTTCCAGTGTACAACAAAACATTTCCTTCAATTCCATAAAATGCAACTAAAACATCAAATGCTCTGAGGATTGTCAGGCAAATGCTGAGGAGTGGGCTCTCGTCTTGGCGAATGGGCCCACGACGAGGAATCGGTGGGCTGGATCACTTGGTAAGTGGGCTGCACACCAGGAAGAAGAAAAAAGGTGCCATCTTGGATCAATTATCATGTTATAAAAATCATGGTTTCTCAAGTGTGATTCAATCAGGAGAAGGTGCTGCATGATGTGGTTTCCATTGGCTGGGGCTTGTTTTTGTAACCTTATCCCTTTATCCACATTGGGCTGAATACTTATTTATATGAGTGACATGGTGATTTACTCCCTTTTATTCATTTCCTTTTCTTTTTTCATTTATTTATTAACAATTAAGTTGACATAGAACATGGTGAACCAGCTTATTGTTTGAAAAAACTTGATCGAGAAGAAGTCGATTTTTAAAGATGGACTTTCTGAAAAGTGACGTGAGAACACTCGTCGAGAAGTCCATTTAAAGATAAAGTGACTACTAAGAAGTGTCCAATATAAACTTACTTTTTATGGGAGTTGATTTTTTAAAACTCCATTCTGTTATGTACGCCAAACATCTTTATATTTAGGAAACGAACTTATATAGTCAAAGGTCCATTTCGAAAGTGTTTCCTATAGTCAAAACTCCATTCAGCATGTTTGTTCTGATCAAGATTCCAAAGAGTATTCGGAGATGAACACAATCATACAAGTGAAAGGTTGTTCCGGTTTGCAGCCACAATCATAAACAAGTAATAATAATTTGGATTGGTTCAAATAATACAACCAAAAGTATGAGAAAAAATGGTTAAGGAACCTACTTCAAGTATCCCCTCAATAGAATGTAGAAGAAGAAGAACAAGAAACTGCAACAACTCTGATGCAAGCTAAGCTGACATCATTTTGGCTTTGATGGAGTTGGAGAAGACGGAGGCCTGAAATCTGGGTACTGCATAAAAAAGAGCAAAAAAAACTCGTAAAGTAGTTTTTCCATTAGTAAGTTTCAGTTCGTATACAACAAGAGAGGGAGCATATTCTTACATTTGGGTATGGGGACAGTGGCCTTTGTCCTATATTAGATTCAACAGAAGGACTACTCAAAGTAACATCTTCACTTTCAGTTTCATTAACATTAACAGTGTTTTCAGCATCGAGAACTTTATTTATCGAAAATGCATCGTCATTTCCATCCTGTTGAGTTGTCATCCCTCCATTTGTATCCAGTTTCTTTTGCTTCTTGGACTTCTTTGTCGGGTAGATATGTACAGATGGAGGTAAAAGGGTCTCTTGTATATCCTGCAATCTCCAATGTTCATACGTAAAACCGATTTTGTATTGACAACAATTTATTTTTTTTTTGGACAAAACAAAATTGCCAGACATAGTACTGGGGAAGTATATGAAACCTTACACCGCATCACGCGGATGATTTTGATAATGAACTAAGAAACATTAATTAAATTGCTAAAACTCGTGTGTGTGTGTTGTGTTAACAACTGATAAGCTGAAGAAAGATTATCCAACTCAGATTGATATGAGCAATTACATAGATAAAATAAATCTGTATAACGAGCAAAGGGAAGATACGGAGAAAAAAGGCGAAAGACACCGGAAAAATTGAAATACAAATATCAATCATAAGCTTATTATTTCAGGTAATTCCAAGAATCCAATTAACTATAGAGGAAGAAAGAAATGTACCACAAGGAATAGTCCTCGAGCACATAGATTATCAGAAAGTTAGCCGAAGAAGAAGCACTTAAATGGAGCTATGTAATGTGCAATACAAAATTAATTAAACAGGAAACTTAATTACTCGAGGGAGAAAAATAATAATAACCAGCACACACCTGCCATCCTTGTTGTCCTAGGATCCCTCCCCGAATTGCATAAGCCTCTTTAAACCCGTTTTTCACCAATAGCTCGGCCGCTTTGAAAGAGTTACCGTCAAAACTACCTTACACGTGAAAAGGGGTCAACAGAAAGTTGGTTCGAGTGTTTCATAGCTTAAAATTTGTTCACAGAAAAATGCTGAGAGTAACATACAAAGTACTAATTCATCAACTTACCAAATATAGCATCAAAGACGGTTCACCACACAAGTATTCTACTAAGTTCCTAACAATTCAAATCATATCAAGATACATTCCACACAACGTTAACAAATCTTCACTCACTTCTTGATGATGAAATATTTTTCGGAAATCTTCCAAAAATAGCCGGTTAGATAATATGCAGAATCAAAAACTCCAACAGATTAACCGAGCTGCTAATAATACCCACTTAACCTTACCTCCACATTCTAAAAATCATAAAATCGAAGCAACAAAATAACAACTGAAAATGGAAAAGGCTTACTTGTCCAAGATACAAACAATTGTATCAGATGGCTCCTCAAAAATCTTCAATACCCTCTTCACAAAACCATCTTCGTCTCCCTCCCGAAACTCGACCCGGGCCACACTCTTGCGCAGGATTTTCAAATTGGGCGAGCGCAACACGGCGAGGCTCTTACCGTCCCTTATGTCCAGCAACTGACAAGCCGGGTCGTCCTGCAGCTTCTTAAACGCATTAATGGCGGAGATAAACTTGTACTTCTGCATATACTCCTCGGTCAGAGGGATCACAACCAACCACACGAACGTCACCGTGGCCACGAAAAAGGGGTATCGAATGAAAAAGTTGTCAACGGCGACCACGACGGACTCCAGGCTAATTCTGTTGGAGACTCCTTCATCGGGAAGAACAGCAGATTCAGAAGCGAGGCAAGAAAATGGGGAAAAAAGTCCGAAAAATGGAAATGAGAAGTGAGGCTTGAGAAATAGTTGGTGGGGTTTGAGGAAAGAGAGATAATTTTGGAAATAATTGGGGCAAATGCCAGTAGGGTTGGAAATATTGATGGATTTGTGAATTAGGGTTTGGGTTTCATTGGTGGGAGAGGAGCCACGGAAAGAGATGATTTTTGGGTTGTAATTTGGGAGGAGAAGATGTGATTTGGGGGTTTTGGGAGGGTTTAGTAATGGAGGAGAAACTGAGAGGCAGCTGGAAAGAGACTCCATGAAACAGCAGAGAGAGAGAGAGAGGGAGAGAGATTGTGTATCTTTAATACGGATGATGTAAGGTAGATGATAAGATGGGGCCATACCAAACGGTCATTCTTCTCTTGTTTGTTTTTTTTTTTTTCTTTGGTTTGTTTTGAAGCAAAAAAAAAAAATTGTTTTTCTTAGCCAGAGTTTTTATATTTTTACAATTTAATCATTATTTTTACATTTGTATAGTAAAAGTATATACATTCTTGAGATTTTTCAAATTTGATAATGACACATGATATATTGTTGTCTGAGTTCGATTATTTGCCTTAAGTTTGATACTGAATTGCTAAAATATAGACTTTCAATACATTTTTTTTTAAACGATAGATTGTATACTTTAAAAGAGTGAATTACAAAATAACGCAAGAAGGCTAGATAGGCTTACAAAATAAAAGTGGACTATGGGAGGTGCACTAAAAGCAGTGTAACTAAACTAAAACCTAAAACACAAGAAAGAGGGATCCATGGCGTCGACAGTGATAAAGAGCACTTAAAACCAATGCAGAAGCTTAATCCACCAACAAAACTAAGAACTCCAACAAGTGGATACTACCTAACTTCAACAATTGAAGAATAACACCCTTACGTGAAGGAGATGAACCTAACTAATACACACTTATTCTATAAAAGAGTAATACATCTCCAGCTCCTAACTAGCAGCTACCACAAAGCTCGTAATAGAAGCCAACGTCCACAACTAAACAACCCCACAAATTAAAATCAAAAGAGCAACAGAAACATACCCCAGATCCAAAAACTCTAACTGAAGCAATGGATAGAAAGAAGAGCGAGAAGGCAAGCCTTAGTTTAGATCTATGATCCCTTGGTCGCAAATGGGACTAGCGAGATGAGATGTACTGAAGAGCCCAAAATGGGGAACTTGGAAGAAGTGCCTCCAACCTGAAACAAAACAAAGAAGCAATGGTCAAGAGGACATCTCCTGCCGGCGAGAAGCTATAGACGGTACGGCGGCTCGACGGCCCCAACCCTTGCCGGAGAGAGGGCATCGCAGCTAGTCGCAACAAACCCATTCCTTCACCAGGCTACAGTTGGGGCGAGAGGATAGTCTTCGGCCTCGGCCAAGGCTATCCGTGACGCTGCTGCCTAGGGAGTTGCGGACGGTCAGCGGAAAAGGGGGGGAGGGGGCGAAAGGAAATCTAAAGGGGCTTTTCTTCTGCTTTGTTTTTTTTAAGAGACCTCTATGACTTTCAGTATCTGATTTTGTATAAAAATGAGTTGGAGTTCAATTCTCCTTGATTATCTCAATATTATTTATGATTTACTAAGAAATTACAAACATGAAAAGAGAAGTAAACACTTCAGTAGGTCCACTACCGGATATCGCACATCTACCGCAAGGAGAACCGACCCGCTGACTTTTTCGCTTGCATTGGTGCCTCCACTCCTCAGAGGCACATCTTGCAGCTGGACAACGCTTCTCTCTGCCTCCTACTCTTGTACGGATGGATCAGATTGGTTACTCATCGTTCTGATTTGGGTAGTTGTTTAGGTTTTTTTGCTTTAGCCTGCTCGTGGCGCAGAATGTTTGTCTGGCACTTGTCAACCAAGTTTTAGATCTTTCAATTTGGTTGTTGTTTTATTTTTTTTCCTTCTCTTTTGTTTCTAGCTTTGGTTGTTTTGTTTGCTATTTGAACATGTAGATTTGTGGTTTTCCGCCCATCTTGGGCCTAATTATGTACGGGTTGGGGATCTAGCCTTAATCCCCTACCCTTTCGATGTTTCTTCTTTAAAAAAAGTATAATTTTTCAAATACCTGAATTTAATTTTTTTCAACTTATGTTTAGTATCCAGTATTAAAACTCTGCACAACATCGCATGACAAATAGTATGGGTGGTATAAGTTCAACCCATTTGGCTTAATCCCACCTCTTTATGTTGTTTACATTTTAATGTTGTGGTGTACAGATAAGAAACCAACACATACTAGTAGAAAAAGTACTTGTTACAATAGGACTTTTGCATCGTCTTTTTATAATCATTGTAACTCGTCACAATGGGATATTAGTTCATTCGTTATCAAAATCGTTTTATCCCATACACACAAGTATGAAGAATTTATTTGAGATTCGATTGGGGAAGTAAAGAAGTCTAACTAATCTTTATTCCTTTTTTTTCTTTTTTTTTTTCAAATTATTCTCTAATCCACTCATACATGGTAATTATAGGTTTCTCGGTTTTTAGACATGTCAAAACGAACTTGCAAGGCGGGATGGCCGCAACCAGCCAAAACCCGCATTTTGGCGGGGCGGGGCGGGCCGACCCACCATCCTGACAAGTTTATTGAAGGGCAACCCATACAAGCCCACCACGGACTGCAGTACATCTGGGCTGGCCCACCCAAGTTACAAATAAATTAAAAACTATAAAATTTAATATAATTTTGTCGGTTCGGTAATTTTATAAATTTTATAAATAAAAGTTGACATGAAATAACTGTATTTCTAAGAATAAATATAAATTGAACCGAAATATAAAATTTCGAACTGAAAATTTTAGTTTGGTTGATATTGTGCAAACTGATAGTATTAATGTGAATTTTGTATAAACCACATTGTGCACTGTCAATACATAAAAATATAACAAATAATGATATTTTTCAAATAGTTCAGTTAGTTCGGTTATTTCATTTATTTTAATAAAAATAAGGCCAACATCAAAGAGAAATAACCGTGATTTTAAAAGTAAAGATAGATAATCAAAACGAATATAATATTTTTGAATTGAAGATTAGTTTGTTTGGGTTTGGTCGATATTTGTGTAATCTAATAGTCATTAATATGCAACTTTTTTTTGTTCAAAACGATAGAGATATTATAAAAATACGCACAAAGGTGCAAAAGGACTGCTACAAGTTGAATACAAATAGCCAACGACTGAATACAAACAACCAACAACTGAATAAAAAAGGGAGGACAGGTCAAAAGAACGCCTAGAGACCGACCCCAACAGGGTAATACTCGGCAACACTAAAAACGCAAGAACACTAAAAAACGACTCCAACAACACTAAACACTAAAAACGACCCCAACAGGGTAATATCCGAGTGTCCGACCCCAACAGGGTAATAAAGTCGACACTCGGGCTCACAGAGGCCAACGGCCCAGACTTAAAACACAATATTAACACGAAAACAACACAAACGACACGAAACAAGATTACAAAAATAAAAACACACAAAGCCCTTCCCCAGCAAACGAGCCTACCCAACCAACAGTGGACGAACGACACAAAAAAAAAAAAAAGATTCTAAGCCCGAGAACCACTACCGAAACTGCAAACTGCTTATACAGTAGTCGAAATAAAGCCCCGAACCAAGCTCCAAATCGACCCATCTCCAACCGAGAGAATAAAAACCAACCCCCACACCAGCTCCACCCGAATCCGGCTAACACCACTAGTCGAGCCCGGAAGAACCCGGTCCCTCGCCGCCTAACACCACTAGCCGACAGGGGAGGGAGGGAGAGGCTCATTCCACAATTCCGGCAACCACTGCAAAGAACTCAGCCGAAGCCACGCCCTACCACGATGCTGCCAAAGCCCCACCCCACCGCATACCTACACACCTCGCCACAGCAAGTCGTCGGAATTGGAGGACAGACATCACCCGAAACGAGAGATACCCCCAGATCGCATACCCGAGGTTGAAACGCGAGAGTAACGACTTCAAATTGAGGACCTACCGGCAACTGAATTGCAGGCCGTTCTCCACCTAGAAGCCGCACCACGGATCGAGCCACTAACCGAAAACCTAGGTTCGACCATCCTACGTCGGCCACACGCAGCAACATCAGAGGATCGCAAGTTAGGAGAGGAGCGAGCGGATGAAGATGACCATTGGCCGGAGCAAATCAGTCACCGGGGAAGGCCAGGAGGCAGAGAGATTGACGAGCGACGGAAGGAAATTGGGGAAAAGATTTTTTTTTGCTAGAGAGAGAAAGAGCCCTCCACGTTAGGTCAAAATCCATTAATATGCAACTCGTAATACAATAATGTGCAATCATAGTGCATTTTTTTTAACGGCCTACCAAAATAAATTAAAATATAACCGAAATAATCGTTTTGTTAGTTAAATTAACCAAAATTATCTAAATAAATGAAATGATTTATAATTTATATTAAAAAAACAATTTAATATTTTTATATTTTTATATAGTATTTTTTATTATATGGTGGTTGAAAATTTATATATATATATATATGTATATATATAAATATTATTTTTTGTATAGTTCGGTCGGTTGATTATTAAAAATAAAAAGCTAAAATTGAATTGAAATAACCAATTTTTTAATTGTAAAGAACCAGCACCAAACCGACAAGTATAAAACGTATAATATAATATACTTTCGGTTCATTTCGGGCGGTACATACGCTAAAGTGCAATATCATAGGCAAAAAAATTGCAACCTGATAGTCATTAATGTACATGTTTTTCGGCTACTATTGTGCAATGTGTAAGGACTAAACTTTCGTCCCAGCCAAATTGAAATCAAACACTAACTTGTATTTCAATTTATTTTTTTTAAAAAAAAAATAATGTGTATTTTAATTAATATTGTTGTGTATTTATCAAATTATTTATATATTAAAAATATTTTATAATTTTTTTATTTAATATTTTATATTATTAATTAGTTAACATTACCGTGCATTTGTTATGCTAAGGTGCAATCTCGCTAACATAAAAGTACAACCCATCAGTCAATAATGTACAACATGTCCAATAATATTTTATTATTTTGTCTTATTTTTATTTAATATTATTGTTTATTATTTTATGTGTTTAAAATATATATAAAAATTGTACTTTTATACTTTTTTGTAAATTACATATTTGGCCCTTGGGTCAAATTGAAATTTAAATAAAATTATTAAATTTACAACTAGGTCCCTAAACATAATCAAATTCTCAAAATGAAACCCCCAAATCTAACATCCATAAAATCATATTTGCAGCCTCCTCATTTATCACCATCATCACTCCCGTTGCCGAGTTTGCGAGCTTCCGGAGGAGGCAGACCGTCCGGCGAGGGCACCATTCAAAGCTTTACACCCTGCCGCCGTCATATCTCCTCCATACAAACGACATAGGTCGTCGGAGATGAGTATGGGTCGGGGACAGTGGGTTGTTGAGACGAAGTGAAGGTTCGCCGCCAATGGAAGGTCACTGGAGATGAATTGTGACGACCGACGAAGGCGTGGCGACGACGGAGGAATTGAATGAGATTTTCATGTGATGTTCGACGGCAGCTAAGGCGGTGGCAGTGACGGCAGCTAAGGCGGGGAGGTTGTGTTGCATGTGTGTGACCGTAGACGGCGATGTGTGTGTATGTGTCTCCATCGGCGATTTGTGTGTGTGTGTGTTGTGTGTGTCGCGTATGTGTGTGTGTCGAAATATATGTTTGTGTCCGTGTGTGAGAGGGTGAGAGGGTGGGTGGAATGTGTGATGTGTGGTGGCCATGTGGCATTAAATCATTTGTGTGGTGAGTTTTTAGTTGGCATGGTCTTACAGTTTTATAATTAAAATGTTGGATCTTTTGTTCTCGTTAGATCATCCGATTCAATGACCAATATTTTTATTTATTTCAATAATTCTCTTTCTATGATCTTATCCCGTGCATGTATGGAATGCTATTTTTTTTTTTTTTTTGGTACAATGGAAGAGGCTAAACGCCTAACCGTTAACGGATCGCGGATAGGTCACGTCAATAAGGTCATGAAGTAGCCATTGACGAAGACCCTCCGGTGGCTCGATAAATGACTGGTATCCCAAGGGTCCGTCCGCTGCTAAGGAAGCCAGGAAGTCGGCCGCATAATTCACTTCACGGAAGACGTGTTTCACCTTAACCTCCCACGGTCTACGTAGGAGTTCCTTAATACCAGACACTAGCCCTCATGCACTCCCGGAACATCTTCAGCAGATGTAGCAAAAGCCACCGCACTAGCATTGTCAACCTCGGCTTCTACGTGGCGATACCCCAAATTCCATGCTAAAGAGAGACCCCGAAATAAACCCCAAAGCTCAGCCCTCATGATCGAGCAAGTGCCTATATTCATTATGAAACCGCCAAGCCAGTGACCTTGCTCATCTCGAATTAGCCCCCCCGCACAACCCACTCCAGACGACGGTGTAAAGGAGCCGTCCGAATTGACTTTAACCCATCCCGACGGCAGTTTCTCCCAGCAGATCCAGTGTGAGGTCCTCAAGCGACCCGTTTACTAGCCCCAACACTCACCTTCGTCATCCCCACTAAGTATGTGGAAATTTCACGAAGTCCGCCGATGACATCACGTTTCTTACCCTGAAAAATATACTCATTCCTCCACCCCATAATTTCCATGCGACCACCCCGAAAATGCAAGTCCAGTCATCTCCTACTAAGTATGGAATGCTATTTATGGTTGAATTTGATGCTACTGGACCAAAGAAATTCATTGTGACTAAGGAAAAAAAAAAAACTACCTTCCTATCCACTTAGGGCAAACTTTCCAAATTTAAATTGAACATTCTGATTATTTCCAATAGTCCAAAAACATTTCTCAACGTGAAGAAAAGCAAACGCAAAGCAAACAAGGGGTCAACATTTCACATTCGTATTTACCTATGAATTATGATACCTCAACAATACATCTACATTTTTATACTTCCTACCTCACGATTTCTTTCTCTGCAACCA